CAAGGACCCTGAGGCTGGGACTCTAAAGCTACAGACGTTTTGTTTTGTTTCCTATACTGGTTTAATCAACTAGATTTCAGAAGCCCTAACAACCGATGATCACATGGATGCCTAACGTCAGGATCAGGTCCAACAGAAACCACTCAGCGCACTCTGAGGCGCAGGCCTGACATACTCTATGCAGGACATGGACCACTTATAGGTAAACAACACACTGATGTGTTCTACCCATCCATTTCCCAGGTTAAAAAATTTGCTTTGGCCATTAATTCAATTTCCTTATTCCAGGCGGGTTTTTATTCTTGGATTTCAGACACAATGTGCTGTTACAAAGAGTATTTCTATTCCAACTGTATCCTTCTGAGCCTCTGCTAAGCTTGGGGTTGAAGGAGACCCACAAAAGCCAGAGAACTGGGATTTCGACCCTAGATCATCATGCTTATGATTGTTTCAATTGCAACAGGGCACCAGACAGCCTGGTTCAGAAAAACAACACTGCAATATGTACATGCATTCTCTTTCTTAAATCTAGCAGAGAGTAAAATCAGTAGCTTTCTGAGTTGACAAACAAACATCACACATGATTTTTCCTGAGGCTTTCAGCATGCTTTTGAGTGCAATGAAAACACCAACACATCAGGAACCTGGCTATGTAAGAGATCACCATCTACCATAACCCCATGTGCAGCCAGAAAGATTGCCTGCCTGCTTCTTAATGCTAAAATTCTCCAGACTTATTACCAGGGCTGAGAAAAGATATTCATACTGGGCTTCTATTCCACATTCAGCCTTGACAAAGATAGCGTAAAGCTTTAGAAAAATTCCCACAGCACTGTTTTATCCAGCAGCAAGTCTCACTTGAGCAAACTGAGATTGTTTTGAGCCCTTCCACTTCATGCTGCTTATTCTTTCCCTGCAGATGCTACACTTCCACATTCCTGCAGTGAAAACGCACCACAGCCAGCACACATCTGGCACAGCTTACTCTGCGCTCTGAATTTCAGTTGCAAGATCCCCCCCCCCCCCGGTTGAGAACCACTGATGTTAAGTGACAGCTCTAAACATTAAAAAAAAATTTTAAAAATTGTCAATTCAGAGACTGTGCAATATTTGATAGACAACAACATGAAAAACTGTACTTGTTTTACTGCTGGCAGAATTGGAATGGAAGGGTTCCTCTCACCCCCTCCTTTCTCTCCTGTTTACTTTCCTACTGGTACCGTAGGGACTTTTACCGCTACCAACTGTGAAAGGCTCTTACGTAAGTTATTGTTTAACTTTGAGAATAACAGTCTGGCTGTGAAACAGAGATATGCTCTGTGAGTCTGGAGAGGAAGCAAGAACATGCCACTTAAACAGAGAAGCATGGGAAGCTCCTTCTGAGAGTAGCGATGACATTGCTGAGGTTTCAAAAATCTTCATACCAGACTGCCCTCTACTGGGATGTTATTCAAATAAACCCAATCCCTGCTCTCCCCAGCTCCCCCACCATCCTAGAATCTGTACCAGAAATACATATGCTTTTTCTAGACTAATGAAAACATTTGATGGCTTCTTTTTCAAAACCTATATATGTGACTAACAATAAACAGATTTTTTTCCTCACAAGCAATCCATTCAAGTGAGGAGTTGGAAATGCATCTCTATTTCTATGCCAACACCTTTTTCAGCACCATTGATTTTGTTTAAATCAAGCATACTCAGGGCTGGTGTTAAATGTGTAATGAGAAAAAAACCTGAAGCTATTTTCTTTCATGTTGTCTTGTAAATGTACTAAGCTCACAAAATTTTACAGAACCCTCTTTTGTCTTAGTCAGTGACCTGATTTCTTCTCTCCATTGAAAATACACACTACACCAACTCCATCATTTTTTTGAGGTGTCATGGCAACATTATTATTTCTGCAGTCTCTGAAGGATCCCCTTGTCAGGTGCTTTTCACCTGCAAGCAAAGTATTTCTCTCCCTCAACCCAACAGTTGTGAGACCTGCAAATATGGCTCTAAACCTGAGTCTGGAAGTTAAAGCTCTGCCCCCACTACAGAGAAAGGTTTGGTAGTTGAGACCAGACCACCCACACCATAATCCAACTGTCTGCACTGGAGCTTGTGTAAAACATGAAAGATAATCCAAACGTCTCTACTTGGCCAGCAAGGCCCTGTAAAATAAAAAACATTTTTTTATTAATCTGACAGGAATGCATAAAAGAGGACTTTTGTAAAAACTGTTGAGCTGTGCAAAGTTATATTTTAAAATCTGTGGCAGCATATTAGCACCAAGTAGGAATATTCAGGACAGTGCCAATAAGCCATATAATTTGATTTTTACTAAAGATAATTTAATTTCCCCCCCATTACTTTGTGGTCTTCCACTTTCTCAAACACATACTTCAAAAACATTGCCCAGAAAACTTGTTTGAACGGTCTGAAAATTTTTAATCTATTGCACAAGGATGAAACCACATTTTCCAATTGCATTGTTTTGGGTTTTTTTAATTGCAGAATATGTTTTTTCCTGATCATTAAAAAACATTTTTCATTAGTATCACAATGACAGAGCCACATTCTACAGCTGGAGCTCACAGCACAACCCCAGAATATCAGCTGTTTTAAACTACTTTCACTTACACAAGCTCATAATTATTTACCAAGGTGGATCTCTGCTTTACCACTCCTCCTTAAAATAGTATTTCTTCTTAAATACCAACATCTCTGGAAGTTTATGCCTCCTAGAGGTCAAGAAAACAGTCATAAGCAGCTGTCTAAATTTATTAAATAATAACCCACAGTACTGAGGTGGTTTTTTATTCACCACCCTCCCCACTTTCCCAGTACTGATGGGGCTATTTCAATTCCAGTGGCTTCAGAACTGTAACTGTGCTACATTCTGTTATTTTCCTATTCTACAGCAAGAGTTACTACTACCAGCCTCTCTTCCCACCCCAAAGACTTTTTGATCATTTAACATAAGTGCTATATATTCTCATGAATCACAAAAATTATCTGAGACATTTGGTATCAGAAAAACAAGATACTACTTTTACATTTAAGGTTGCCTCAAACTTTTCTTTCACTATAAAAGAGCCAGGAGACGCAGGATGGTTGCTTCTTTGCATCCTGGCCAGGCAAACTCTTTGCTACTCACTACAAGCACTGTACTAAGAATTCTCTTCCATGTTCCTCCTTATATTTGGTTCTTTCTGATCTTGAAATACTGCAGTCCTGTTTCTTCAACACAGATAAGGAAAAGCTCTGTTAGTATGCTTTTATCTCAAAGAAGGTTTTGCTACCTATAAGGCAAGTGTACCTCTACAGCTAATACAGAAGATGTAATTTCCACAAGATCTAATACCATCTGAGACTGCAAACTTTCACTACCTTAAAAAGCTGTATAATGAATCAGACTGCAAAAGCCCTCCCCCACGGAAAATAATTTTGCCTTCACAACAACATGTGTAGTTCAGCTCACGACACTGCAAAGCAATAATAATGATAATAATAAGCATCACTCATGTGATTCAGTGGATAAATCACTACAAGACATCTGTCACCATCAGAAAACCCATTTATTTACGGAACTAGGGAAAAATAAGGATAACGATTTCCAAATTTCATTTTATTGCCAGTTAAACTCAACAGAACTGAGTAGTTTTTGAACAATAAAAAAGGTTCCAAAGCCCCATTTGCAAGTTTACACTGATATTAACGTCAGTTGTTAAAGGTATGTTTCATGAATGGATGAGATTATGTAAAAAAAAAGTTCTGTTTATTCTCAGAACCTACAGATAAGTCTGATTTGTGTAGAGAAAGCTCAGTTTGGTCACTTTGCTGAGGAGCCCTTCACATTCTCACTCACTGTCTCATTTTTAATCCCACTGTTCAAATTCTTTGAAAGAACCTTTTTTTTCTGGCAGCCCACAGAAAAGAAAGCCCCAACATTTTCATGGGTTGATGTGCTGAAAAGTGACACAGACTGATGATCAAATTTTTAAAAAGAGGTACTCTCAGGGAAAAGGAGTTCTAGGAACTGAACACCCCAAAACAGGGCAAAACCATTTCATATTTATCGAAACTGTCAGACCAAAAGTGACCCTGTATAGAAACAAAATGTACTGATTAAACATAGTAGCCAGGAGAGTACAGAGAATTACAACAGGTTTTTATCCACTGGAAAAACGTCCATTCCCTGATAAACAAACAACCACCACTACATTGCAACAGCACTTAGAACAGTGCACTCAGTCAAGCAGTGTTAAATCTACTATGAAGAATAAACAGATATTAATTACAAAACTCAGGGGTTTTTGAATCATTCATGTAAGGAAGAACAGAGCATGGTTCCATATCATTTTGGTTCACTGGAACTTTGCACAATATAGTAGTAGTTCAAAAAAATAAGCTTAAGAAATCCACTCCAGCAGTCACTTGCTCCATCCCCAATAACACATTCCACGCCATATTTCCACTGATAAAACTTGTTGTAGGGAAACTTAAAAGCTTCCAACTGTGCACACAGTATTAACAGATTTTAACCTGTATTTCTCCATTCTTCAAATAAGTAGAGCAGACATATTTCACTTTCAGGAAAGATATCACGACTATAAGTCAGATACATGGCAGGGAATATCCAGACATGCTGATTATTGGAATAAGCTTTCTGTGTAGGAAGTGAAGGCTAGGGCTCAACACTAAGAAGAAACAAGCACAGCGACACATTGTCCATCAAATGATCCTTCTGTGTCCTGGAACGTGTATCAGGCAGAATGTCCTCAGTGAAGAAAAAGGGTATGTGAATGTGTCATTACAGGCTTGAGGACTGGTTTAAAACAAACTAGACAGTCTTATTCTCAGCAATTCTTAATGACTTAGTTCAATGGTGAACTCTGCCATGCTAATAAAAAGCATTCTTTTCACAAAATGTTTTCCACTTTATACCTACTATCTGTTTTTAGAATCTGAAAAACTGACCATAATGATGACAGACTTCAGGGTGTTCACCATACCTCAGCTCCACCCATCCATTTTGGTTCATCAGGAAATTCAGCACACAGGATATCTTCTGACTGGTCAGTTCCTAATACATGATAATGCAGCTTTTGGTGCAAATTAGTGGAGGTCTCGGTGCCTAGTGAAATGCAGATATTTAAACCAATTAGTTCTCAAAGAAATCCAACAACAACTAAGTAAAACCCTTAGAAACTTCTGTATCCCTTCGCGTATACAAGAGTAATTCAGTAGTGAGAACTAGGAATAGTTGGAGTCTACAACCATTCCCCTCCAAACAAACACCACCACCCCCAAAACAAAATAGAACTTCAAACCACCTTGCAAACCTGTTCAAACAGTTACCCTTTCCTTTTATTGCTCATAATACATTCCTCAAATGTGAGGATTTATCATTCCAGGCTTTGCTTTCTAGAAATACTAAGCAAGCAAAGAAAAACAATCACCCTCTAATGATGTTTGTGCTTCCATTTCACCCTGCGCAACTAAAGGGAGACTTATTGCTAATTAATATTCCTAGAAACGTTCACACTTCCATTTGCTGAAAACAAAAATAGTAGTATTTTAAAGCACTGCATGAGGCACTTTTTTTTTTTAATTTGGTTCTTGCAACATTTTCTAACACTTCAGCTTCTGCACTACAAACATGTTTGAAAGTGAAAAACACAAGGTGGGTCTCTAACTTGCGAGTCTGGCAAAATGATAGGCTGCAGAAGCAAATACAGAGGCAAAATTCAGGCTCTCTCCGAAGCTTAACAAAGAGCACAGCTCCAGAAGAAACTTTTCAGTAGCACTGCCTTCTAATAAGAGCTGCTAAATTCCTTTCCTACTGACGCTCCTCAGCAATTTATTCCATTTTGTGTGCTGCTCCTTGAGTTTTGCTAGCATAAACATTTTGTGTTGCTGTGCACCACAGATGAATTAGCGTGGCTGCACAACAAAAACCTTATGCCCCAGACTGCTATTCACCAGGTCAACCTCCCAAGCCAGTTCACCTATGCCACACAAATGCATAAGGATAAGAGACCTAAGCAAGCTGTCACCAGACATCAAATTGCAGCCACTAACACCCTGTATGAAAGCTAAGTAAATCATTGCAGAAAAAAAGAAAAGGAGCAGCAAACTTTTAAGAGAGAGACAGGGACAGGCAGACAAGAGAGTACTCACACTAACTGAGTATAGGCTTTGGTCATACAAGACATGATCTGATATCTAATTGTATAAACTAGTATAGCTTGTTATTTCAGTATAAAGTAGACGACCTAATTATTTGTTGTACCAACATTCTGAAAAGGTTATTTTGCTTCTACATACCATGCAATTAGTACAGTCACACTTACCGTCACTTTTCCCATCTTGTTTTGGATAGCAGTTATAGAACATGCCTTTTCCATCATGGGTCCATGCCATGCAACTGAATTTAACTCTCTCCAGCGTATCTGGAAGATCCTCAGGACCTTCTACTTTCATAAACTTGATAGTAACCCAGTCAGAGCCGCTAGAACTCAGGCCATATGCAAAGTATTCACCATCTTCACTGAACGCATAACCTAGGAAATTGTAACCAAACAAGGTGAAGTAAGAACCAGCACAAGGAATCAGTATTTTTAAAAAAAGTGCTTGTTATTTTGCCACACAGCTTTTTATTATTTACTACAGACTAGCCAAATCCCAATGAAAGAGAGGTGAAATTGGGAAAGCAGTTAAAAGGACTGTGTTCACTGAACACTGAGGGAAGAGGGTTTATTTTCTACAAGACAGTGCAAGCAACTACATCTGATATCATTTGCGATTCACAGCACTTCTCCAGCCTCTGTGGACCTGAGTTTAGGCATGCCTACTCAGTAAGTATGTTCAGTAACACTGTCTATGACCAACATCTGAATTATGATTTGAGTAAGAATTCTTCTACTTCCCTGAGTTGGGGGGGGGGAGAAGGTGGAGACTGAAAATGCACACAGGTAGAGAACTTAAAGTCAGATTTTAAGAGGGAAACAGTACTAAAGAAGTCAACAGAAATTGAGATGCAAGCAATGCATCCTGAAATAATCCCACTGAATAATACCACTTCAATATTGGAGTCACTGAAAACTAGACCCTGCAAAGCCGTGAAAACTGAAGTAACATGATTCTGAAAAAAATTCAGAGCTTCCATCACAGTTGATAAGAATCAAATTCACTCTTGCAAATCAACTCAAATGAAGAGATTGAATTATCATAGGCCTGCACAGACCTGAAAGTAACTACCAAAAAAAACCACACAAAAAAAGTTGCATTTCACAAAAATCACAGGTTTGAGAGGCACCACTGTGCCACCCTAACATATTCTCCCCCATAAGAACATAAGAGTGGCCATTGTGATTCAGAACAAGATTCCAGCTATCTGTCCTCAGGAGTAACCACAGCAAGATGTCTACAAGAGTAAGAACAATACTTCCCTCAGACATTCTTACAACCTCTGACCATTTTCCACTTAGGAGACGACTCTTTCATGGAGTAGTTGGTTAATAATCCTCAATGCTTCCCTCCTCCTTGACTGTGTCCAGCTTGCCTTTAAACTCATGATTAAGTTTTTTGCAGCACCAGCATCCAGTGGTCAGGGGTTCTACAAATGTACTTCTTGCAGCATGAATCATCACTTTCTTTTATTTGCTTTGGACTCTACTCCCAGTGCCTTCATTTGATATCCCCTCATTCTTGTAACAGAAAAAATGATGACTAACCAACCCTATTCACTCTCTCCATACTACTGCACACCACAAATGATTCTGTAGGTCTCTATTATATCCCAGCTAAATCGTCCCTTTTCCAAGCTGATTGATCCGGGCACACTCAATTGTTTCTGACCTTTCTTCATACCCTTGACTGTTCCTACTGCCTAGGACTGTTCCTAGAGCCCCTTTTGAGCTGAACTATATTTAGTATTCAATGCTACTGTATAAACCCCTGGGTTGCCAATGTAATGGTGTTTTGTTCTCTTTTTTCCTTCTTAACCATTTCTAGTATTTGATGTGCTCGTTTGGCTGCTACAGAGAAACAAGCTGATATTTTCATGGAACTATCTATTACAGCCTAAGAATTGTTCCCAAGTGCTCAGAGTCCATTCCATCCACTCCTCCACAAATAAGGTTAGGATTGTTTGTCCCCTGTGTATCACTTCATTTATCTGCACAGAGACATTTACCTGTTAATTTATTACCAATTCACTATTGCTAAGGTCTTCCTGCAGCCCTTCAGTCATTCTTCAGCCTCTACCTGGAATAACACTGTATCATCACCAAACTCTGCTACCTCACTGCTCACTCCTTTTTCCAACATATATATGAACATACTGAACAGTGCAAGTCTTAGCATAGTCCCTTACAGAAATCAATGGGTGATTTCCACTTTGACAGCCAATCAGTTATTCTTGTCTCTACCTTTAAATCAGTTATTTAGCAACACCAGGAGTTTCCCGTCTCCTTCCATGGCTGTTGTTTCTCTAAGTCCATTTGGAAATAGACTTTGTCATAAGCTTTTTATATATAATCTTTCCTTATTTGAACCCAATTCCTTACATCCACAGTTTAAGACAAGACTTCTCACTAAAAAAAGCTATGTTGATATGTTTCAACTAGGTCACACTTAAAGAAGCATCCACTAATTCTGTCCTCTGTTTTTATTAACTAGCCTTGAACAGACTTAAAGGACTTCTAGGTCCAAGAGTCTTGCTTCTACAATAAGCCAACAGGGAGTGGGAAAATGGACAGCTAACACTAGTTAAAGCCCTAATGAACACAAGTAATTTTGTGATTCTCATAAAAGTTAATGCTACGTTCCTTCACAGTCTCTTACTTTAACTTGCTGGCTTGTGCTAAAGATGCAAAATACAATTTTAAGAGAATTAGTCAATATAACTAAACTTTTTTTCCTTGCTATGGACAGCCTCAAGATCTGTTTCAGTGGAAACCTGTTACAGAGTTGTGAAAAAAAGATGTTGAGAAACTGAACCAAAGTTAATTGTGAATACAATGTAGATTTAGAAGTGTTCTTCCGAAACACTGTACAAAACCGCACATGGCTATTTTGACTACTTTGATTAAAACAAGCCACCCTAGCCGTGCTTTTATAGGTGAAGAGCTGGAAACTGTTTCCAGCTTCCGCTGAAGCCCCAGACTTACTCAGCAGGAATCTCACTAACCTCGCAAAGCCACAGTGCCATCATCAGAAAGCTTATTTGGATCAAGAAAAACTTTAGCATCGGCATCCAAGGAGTCTTGTACATATAAAACTCGCTGGTTCTGCAGTCCTGTATTGTAGAAGTGAAAATACCTAAAAGAACACAAGAAGGAAAAATAAGTCAGAAGAACTCAGATTTTCAGTTAGTCAAGAAAGAAAAACTTGTATGAGACTGTCATAAAGTGAATAAAAGACAGTTAAATATATAAGGGAAACACAAGCTTCACAGCAGAGTAGGAATCATGGCTTTCTCTGTGGCAGGTGGGGATTTAACCATCCTCTGTAGGTGCCTTTCTCTCCCCTTTAGTACAGAGAAAGCCCAGACACCAACGCCTAGGCCTCTAAAAATTAGAGGAATCTCATCCCATTGTGATATAAACTATATAGAAGAGACTGTAGGATGCATCCAAAACATCTTTAAAAAATAAACGCTGCATTTGCCATGGTGCATTTCAAACAAAGCTAAGCATACTATAAACTACATAACTGTTTATGTTAAACAGCTCTGGCAGCCTTAGCATTTCTCTGAGTATTGGCACAGGTTCCCATTCCCTATGTTCTGACCTTTGTCATTCATATAGCTGCTTTCAATCTGTATCAGGTGGCAGACAGATGTTCAAATGAAACAGAACTGAAATTGTTTCATCTGTATTTCCCAATGTCCCTAAAATTGTGTGTGCTTTGAAAAAGCCGTAGGAACAGAGAATTACAGAATTCTCTTTAGTGAGGGATATGCTTCACATCATAAGACACTACAGAGCTCAAAAGTTAACTGTATTCTATGCAATTCATAATTACTACATTTTTCTACCTTCACAGGACTTCTGAGTTTTACTACACAAACTCATGACTTAACAAATCAAAGAGCAGCTTCACCTGGGGGAACAAGAGACTTTATGGGGTAATATTCAAACCTAAACATAAGCTCACATATTCCCTAAGATTGGCAAGTACTTGGATACAAGCACAGGAACTTGGTAAACCCAGAAGGGGGAACTATACTCACAAAGGCCTGGCTAATAATCTGAACTAGTAATATGTTCAAATACTAACAATAATGATCAGCAAGTGACAAAATCGAAAGATTCAAAGGAATAGAAGAAAAAGATACACAATTTGCCATTTGACCATGCATTTTCTAGCCAATTTCACCACTGCAATACTGGGCGATAAGCTAGGAAGCAAATGTCAAACAACACAACAGACACAGCACCTCCCTGGGCACTCTTCCTTTCTGCAGATTGTACAGAACAGCTCTTCGGACGCTCCTTTAGCAGCTATTTTTTGGCAGAAAACCGGATTAATTAAATTTAAAAATTCTTAAGTGTCATGGGAAGTTTATATAGTTCTTCAAATAGAATAGTTCCTTCCCTTGCCCCTTACTGTTACTTAACTTGGTAGACCCCTCCTGATCTCCTCAAACATGATAATATATGGTTACTTGGTATGATTTTTAAACCACTGTGATTTAAGTTCAGCACGTGCCAAGAAATAGAGTAACAGAAAAACTAAAAAGACATCTATTAAAATCAAAGTGAAGTATCAATAGTTAAAGCACATTAAGCTCCTGGTATAAATGTTCTTCCTGGAGAATAGTCAGCTGCATCAAATTAAGATTTTTTATCTCTAGTGGAGACTATATTCATCACTGCCATGAGCACTTCTGCAACATGAAGCCTTATCAGCACTGAAGATAACCATGCCCAGGCATGTTTGCACTGCACAAGAAGAATGGGTCAGAGAATCCAGAGCAGTCTGTGACCAAGCCTGCTCCAGAACCAGATTCAGCATAGCTACATCTGCATGAGCTTCACATACAAATAAGCTTTGCCTGACCCGTTCAACAAGGCTTACTTCCTGGATGCAGCACTGTACTAAACTGCTCCACCACTTCTGTGCTTAAACCTCACACCCCTATACACTAACCTCTATACATTGATGTGCTATACCACATCAGTGACAAATCAACATCAGCTGGGGTTCACTCGCCACAATACACTTTTACAAAAAGCCACACAGTACAGACTTTCTCTCCTTTAAATAACAAATATCCACACCCTCCTCACAGCATAAGACAGATCACTGAAGAGTAGCAGATTTCCCTCAATATTTGTGCAGAAATCTTAAGGTAATGAGACATCTTCTGCTCTTTTCTATGGATGACAATGAAAACATACCTGGCATATCTGGGTGCCCACTTAACATGGATCAAACAAACTGAAAATACTGAAAAAGACTATTTGTGTTTCCCATCGTTAAAAATGGCTGGTTGTTTGCACTACCTCTTTTTCAACTGTTAAAACAATCTTTAGATGTTACTAAGTTAACCAGCAGTTTCATCCCTTTCCTCCTTTTCTCTAAGCGATTGCTAGTGTTTCTGAAAGAGGTCACAAAAAACGGAGTAGCAGCTGCAGTCTCCAGACCTTGGGTAAGGCATAAAAGCACCATCCCTTTACCTAGCCACAGAATTAAAAGGGATACAAGTAGGCTAGGTATGTAAATAGAGCAGGATTTCTTAGAAGACAGATCTTTTTGCATCAGTTGCCTTAGGTGCAAAATCATTTGGAGGCCTTATCTCCTGCAGATACAGGAGTCATTTTTTCACAAGGGAATTCCCACTGCTTTTCACTGGCTATGACTAAACAAAAATCCTACCAGCTGCTCAAAGTATGACCAACATAAAAGCAGTATTTTAGTAAATATTTAGAACATGCACATGACAAATTTGTGTTGTTTTCAGGATGAGGTGCTTTTAGCTATAGTGACAGTGACCAACCCAGAAAGGAACTCCTCAAAGTTTTACTTTTGCAACAGTTATTCTACAAATTTGTCTGAGTTTTGATAAACTCACAATTCTTCCTATAGAAAGACAACAAAAGAGCAAGAAGATAATATGACTGGGAACTGGAGACAGTCAAGCATGTTGTGCTGTGCATCATGCAATCATATATGTTAACATTGGCTTACTTTTCCTACTTCCCAACTATGAAGGAATAAATACAAATATAATTTACAATTTGTTTTCCTAACTAGTAGTTGCTTTTGACTCGCTTCACATTCATCACCACCTTCAAAGACATTCCTCACATACCTTTTTCCTTTCTTGAAGTGGCAACTGTACTTAGGATAATCATAGAGTTCAGTCATTCGTTCTTTGAACAGTCCTCTGACAGGACACTGCTCGAGAAAGGGTACTGTAAGCTTGTTCTGGGCCTCCACAAATGCCTGAAAGAAAACAATCCCCCAGAAAAAGACATGAACTCAAGCACAAATGCATATTTTCTACAGGAAACACTATTTTCTGAAGCAATGCATCATAGACATCTTCCTCCCACCCCCGCTTAAGTTGTGTAGTGTCACACCCAAAGAGTATCGAACACTTATTTGCACTACGCCACAATACGGTAATAAGACTGATCTTACTATTCCTTTATAAAAAAAACAAACAACAACAACCAACAAACCTCATGCTTTTAAGAACTCTCCTTATATATGATTAAATGGCATAAAAAAAGTTAACTTACAGTATATACCTATGAAATACCATCTTCCCATACTTCACCACAAATACACAATACTCCAACACTCTATGATAAATAAACTGGGAAACTGATAAAAAACAGAGTTCCATTTGCCTGCAGACAGCGCTATCATTTCAGGAGCTGTGAAGGGCTGGAAGATGACACAAAATGTCACATGCACCATCTGTTCATCCTATTAACATAACACACGGGATTAGTCCCAGTCAGTATTTCTTGGAAAGGCCAAAGTACTGTCCACAAATCAGTTCTTGGTTACAAAGGCAAGAATACTTAATCTCTGAGAACTCTGAGGAGTCTGGTTTCTTTAAAACACTCCACCTCCCAGTCACAAACACTTAACCAGCTGTTTGTTAGATTCTGCCACTCCCATGGCACGCATGGAAAAACTGGTGCTCTGTCAGTGTTTCACCATCCCTATTTATAGCACAGTAGATTAATATAAAATTAATACCTAAGCATCTTAAGGTAAAACGCAGCTGCTAAGAACCAGATGTACAGGTTTTTCTGTCTCTACAATGGACTAGGAAGGACAGGAAACAGTGTGTGGCTGTAATTCACAGCCAGACGTCACAATGATCGCTGCAGTATCACTCTTGGACCCCAGCCTCTTGCCTCCAGCCTGAAAGCCCGTCCACTCATCTCTTGTTTACATGGGTCTCTTCCCAGTTGTTTTGAAAGAGGCTATTGTTCCTACCTGTCCTGAATCTGTCACACAGCAAGCAGATCAACACATGATAATATCTGAACTACACTTCACCGCAGAGCATGACCCACAGGAACAGCAGGGCTACAATCCATATTCCCCAACTTGTGTTTTCACAGTTATTCAGAAGAGCCAGCTGCTGTACAGACAGAGTACCTGGCACACATTTACCAATTGCTATAAATGCGTACTCATTTATTAATTCTTCAGGCAAAACACGAGGAAAGAATAGAACACAAAACTCTCTCAGTAGCATTTTTACAGGTATTTCACATGGTGAGAAGTGAGAGAACATGGAGTAAGTAGAGAGACACTCCCTCTCACTTGCCTCGCTGCCACAGCAGTGTGTAGCCAAGAGCCGCATTACATGCCAAGCTGTGTCTTCAGGGACTTGCCAGGTAAAGGAGAAAGCACATTATGGCCAGTCTCCACTTGCCGGGTATTTTTTTATGCCTAACAAATCATACAGAAACTGATAAGCTTTAAACATATGAGTGCAGAATTAGCCAAGTGCTCTTAGGGCATTACTAAGTGCTGAAACATATTAGTTTAAGAACACGTGGGCTGGTTACACACAAGTCACCACTCAACGATGACACAAGACAGCAAGCACTACAGCACTGAAAAGGAACAGATACAGAAGGCTGGCTATGATGACTTCTGGACCTTTACTCAAAATCAGACTGTATGAATCAGCAAGGATCAAGTCAGGAAATGATCCCCTGAGAAAAAGGAAAGAGGTGAATGCACTGCCAAGGGAAGGTCAATTATTGTTTCTGTTCTCCCTTTGAGGATCATACTGGCATAGACAGATTTAACACCCAGCACGGCAGCACAGCGCATCCCAGTGGCAAGTCAAAACGGCATGTACCATTATAACCATTCCCCCTTACATCAGATGATGAAAGAACTTAATCAAACCTAACCAAGAATTACGGGTATCTGAATTTGTTTTCTCTAAATGGAAACACATGAATTTCGAAGACCACATACACAAAGATCTAGACAGTGTACGCTACACAAATAAACTAACTACTCAAAGTGCTGTGACATTTTCAGAGAAAAGAGGTCTTATAAAAACATGTATAAAACCATCCATTGTACTGAATAGGCAAAAGCAATTTTCATTTGCATTTAGTGGACAGAAACTGGCACACATCTTTGTTTCATCTATCAATAACGTGACCAAAATGATAACATTGCTGCAATGGTATACTGAAACTGTGCATTACTCACTCTTCAATGCACCTTAAAACATCTGCTTTCACTACTGGTATTTAAAGACAAGACACAAACTTTCCTTTACAAGCATTCGTTGCACAAGAGCATGCTTACATACTATTACACTCACAACTGAATCACTAGTAATTTTGCTTTTACAGTAACTTAATATATTTTTTCTGTTTCCACTCAGTGTGCAAAAAAGACTACAAGACTACTTGTAAAAGGGAATGCCATGGCTATCTGAAGAAGGAGGTAGGAATTACAGGGTTTTGAAAGAGTTGCACTGAGGAGAATCCAGTCCAGTTTGGAAACTCCCTGCTATTACACTTTTGAGCACAAGGTCGCTCTTATGTTCAAAAACCAATACATAACTGAAATACTACTCTAGGTAAAGTACAGAACAGACGCCAGCAGAAATTCTCACTGTAAACAACCGATCCACCATGCTGAGCTAAACAGATGCCATCCAGGCTATAGCATCACAGAATGGTTTGTGTTGGAAGCGACCTCAAAGATCATCTAGTTCCAACCCCCCTGCTGTGGGCAGGGACACCCTCCACTAGACCAGGTTGCCCAAAGCCCCATCCAACCTGGCCGTGAACACTTCCAGGGATGGGGCATCCACAGCTTCTCTGGGCAACCTGTTCCAGTGCCTCACTACCCTCATGGTGCAGAGTTTCTTTCTAACATCTAATCTAAATCTACCCTCCTTCAGCTTAAGGCCATTACTCCATGTCCTATCACTATATCCCCCTGTAAAAAGTCCCTCTCCAGCTTTCCTGTAGGCTCCCTTTACGTACTGGTAAGCCGCAGTTAGATCTCCCCGGGGCCTTCTCTTCTCCAGGCTGAACAACCCCAGTTCCCTCAGCCTGTCTTCACAGGAGAGGTGCTCCAGCCCTCTGATCATCTTTGTGGCCCTCCTCTGGACTCGCTCCAAGAGCTCCACATCTTTCTTGTGCTGGGGACCCCAGGCTAACAGTAACTCTGTACATCTTCATGAGCCTATAAAGAAAGATTCTTATTTTAACTATAGAAATCTGCATTTGACAATCTATCATAAGCCTTGAACCAGGACAGAATTCTCTAGCAGAAGAAAGGACAGAAGAAGGGTCCAAGACAGACATATGCTTCTGGATATCTCAGAAAATAAGGTAATTTGAAAAAGAAAAGAATTTTTAGGTGTTGTACTAAGAGCAGAGATGTTCTACTTGAGGCTGAAGTATTTGGCCATTACTTGAGCAGGCCAACTGTTACTTTAAAAAAAAGTATAACTAAATTTCATCTAAAAAAACACATGCTACAAAATTTTTTAACCATGCTTTGTTACAACCTATCAGCTTTCTCCATGCCAGTAAACTATTCTTTCAAGATAATGATTTCCACTCACAGTATATTTTCCAAGGAGAAGTCTTACGTTAGAAACTGTTTTAACATTACCAGTCTTTGTTATTAACCTGTAAAGTATTTACTGTTTGTGTAATAGTTACCCCCAAAATCTTCAGATATATCTTCTCAGTAAAAGGTACTTCAGTGCAACTCCTACAAGAGGGCACATACCTTTTTTTAAGTATTACAAAATAAAACTAAGCAGACTTGTGGCTTCCCTCTTAGCATTTACTTTAGTATTCTGCAAAGAAAAATATCAAAGTGCAATTGGAAATTTAGCAAGATATGTGAATGAAACACTGGTCTATTATAACTACAAATCCATTTAATTGTAGTTTTGAGGGTTTCAATTCTAGTCTTAATCCAAACACACACCTGTTCATAATACCGCAACTCAGCTGTATATGCTCTACAAGCCCTGCTCTTTCATCCTTTCTCCATCCCTCATGTCATAAACAAGCTACCCATTACTGCCTGCACTGTCAGCGAGTTAAGGTACTGTATATGACTGACATATAGTTGCAAAAGATTTTGCTGTAGTCTACAAGATGAGTATATTTCTCACAAAGTATAAAAACAAACCAAGAAGAAGTAAAAGTCCAACCAAGTCAAACCCAAGATGACAGCAAAAGTGTGGTCTTGCAGTTGTGGCCTACATCATCACCAGAAGTGTTTTACCAGTTGACGTGGTTTAGCCCCAGCCGGCAGCTGAGCACCACGCAGCCGCTCGCTCACCAACACCCCCTCCCTCCGGCGGGATGGGCAGGAGAATGGGAAGACAAAGGCAAAGCCTCGTGGGTTGGGATAAGGGCAGTTTACTGGGACAGCAAAGGGAGAGGGAAACAACAACAACAGTACTGATAACGGAGTGTTCACAACGGGTGATAACACTAGGCAACTTACAAACCCGATGACCGACCAACTGCTCGCTCAGCCCGCACTCAGCCTGTCCCGGAGCCACACCGAATCCGCGCCACCCCCCCACTGGCCCCCTTTTATGGGAGCATGATGTCACATAGTACGCAATAGCCCCCTGCCCAGCTTGGCTCACCTGCCCTGGCTCCTTATGAAAATTAACTCTACCCTAGCCAGAACCAGGACACAAGCATAGCACAACATTTCACCTAATCCAGGGATGCTTCCTCAGTCTATCTTAAAGGCCAATGGCTAAACAGTAGCAGAGCATGAAGCCACATTCCACACTTCCCCACCTCACCAGGGGCTCAGTTTTTATTTATTTATCTGGAGAACAGAGTTTTGTTTGCTTATAGCTGCACATGACCCCTCTGACCAAGCTCACAAAGAGAAAAAAGTGATATAGTGAAGCACACAGATTATGAACATGGAAGCGCGTACTTCTTGAACAACAGATTTTCCACAAGAGATTGAGGATGCGGCTTGATGATTGGCTTAATCAGCTCCAAGACTGCACATCTGACAAGAAACAGTCCTGCTTAGCCACCTGCAGATTTCAGTAACCTCCTTTTTATAGCAGATGTATACACTGCATATGGAATAAGATCATCTTGGTGACCCGGCTGAAAAATTTCAAGACCTATTTGACTTTCACCTAATTAAAAGTAGGCTGTGGGCTGCTAGAAAAGGAAAGATCCCATTCTTGAACCATCTTAGATCCAACTATCATGTGCCCTTGGGGCAACCTAGATTAAGCATGCGTGCCAATAGAAAACTAACCCACCAAAGCCTTCTCTCCCAGAACATCACCTTGTGATGGCTATACCCATGCAAGGGAGGGACAAAAGCATTCAGATCAGTGCAAGAAGGGGAGGGAAGGCAGAGAGAAACCACAGAACTACCTGACTTAATGGAAATCTGCAAACTACAGTAGATCAGGTACAGAACCATCTGCACACTATTCTCACTGCAAAAATACCTGATTAAGAGAATTAAAAAAAATCCCACTCTTCTATGTTCAATTGTTTGTAAGCTGCTATCTATCAGAGCCCACCAGATCATTTGGAGTAGCCACAGCAATAATTAGTATGATTCTTTATACTCATAGCTGTTGTGGGCAATTTCTTTCAGTCCAGGTCCTGTCAACCCTGCAGTGGACATCAGGTGAAACTACCATGAAAATTCCAGAATTAAAACCAATCTCGCTTGCCTGTGCTTCTTTCTCCATGCTTCAAAAAATAGTAAACTTGATGTTTCACTGACAACAAGACAGAAACAAAGTGAGACCTATCCACTCATTTTCTGTGACCCCATCAATGCTTGACATGACTATTTCTGCTATGTCTAGAAAAGTAGAATTCAAATATATTTGTGTATCTATTTGACAGCACACACCAAATAATTTTGGCTGTTTGTGTGTGAGAAAAGATTCCTAATTTAATAAATCAATGACATCAAGTCTTCACTCTTGTTTTAAGCCAGAATTTTCAGTTACACATACTCAATCAAGCAAGCATGTTGTAAACTGGAACTGGATAGAGGCTCTTTCACTACAGATGAGCATGGATGCCCAAGGAATTCTTCTTCTAGTTCTGTACTTAATATGTAGAAAAATAAAGGTAGTCTATTGTTCGAGGTGTTCACAGGGTATTTTTACTTTTCCTCAAAACAAATGGAGGTTTGGGATATCAAGAAGTGCATAAAGACAGCGAGCAACTTGGAAGAAGAATAGGAAGGACACAGGTCTCAAGGTCAATGACTTGAAGGCTTGAAAGTCTACAAAGCAAACTCCAAATTCTCTCTGAAGCCTCTACAGTCATTCAATTGCCTCTATACCAGTGTCTGGTTATTCTTTGATCTGGTAGGTGCAGAATGGCTATTCTGCAGGAGTCTTGCAAACTGTCTCAAGAACTTGGAGATAAAACTATTAAGAAAAGCTAGCAAGAAAGAGTGGCCGTCAGCAACCTCTGCTGCAGAGCACAAAGAAGTGAGTGATAAAGCAGATGAAAGGAGTTTAGCACTTCAAGATTATTTATTTCTGACTTCTTCTATGAAAGTTGTAACCGGAAAATACTTTTAATTCCCTTTGTTCAGTAACTCCTGGAACTTTGGAAAAAGATGACATACTCACATACTTATACACACAGAAACTCTCCATTCTTTGCATCATACTACTACTGCACTGCAAAATTCTGCCAAGGCATGTGTTTTTTAGAGTGTAGGCAAATAAGACTTAACAGTATTTTCATTCCACTAATGTGACATCTTTATGTCTGGGCTGCTGAATTTTAATGAGGATGTTATAATCCCCCATTCCTTATTTTGCCTCCTATGTAAACTACAACTTCTGGAGAATGAGATTCACTCTCCTCCAACTGTTCTCACCCAACCTGTTCACAGTATGTGGTGACAGTATTGAACACAGGAACACTAAAAGTCAGGTCTTGGCATTTTCTCAATCCCAACTCTTCCGCAGGATCCTGAAAACCACTTTAATAGGTATTTGTAAGGCCTCTATAAAAAGAAAGACATAACCATACCTCCCCACACATATATCCCTCTGAATCTGGCACAAAACTATCCTATGTGTACTGTTTCTTAAGGATGCCAGAATAAAAAAATCAAAATACTCCCAAATTAGTAAATATCTAATTTTGGATGTTAGTGTCCATGGCAGAGTTTTTCACTAAAACCTGATCCCGAATGAACATTTTTAATCCACATGAGTCTTTGCATATGCCAATAGATTTGTAAGTAGGGAACAGGATCCTAACTGTACACATTTTATCTTGCTCTTGACAGTTACAGTAAGTTCTATTCAACCAATCTCTAGCTCATCAAGATGTATTACGTAAGCACACACATGAGAGAACCTAGAAGGAATCTCACTAGTGGAAAGCCACCCTACAGGATATTTTTAAATGGACATCCTGCCCTCCATCATCTGTCCAACACAATCACACGTACTAGATAGATGCCAGTGGTTTAGATCTGGAACTACAGTTATCACAAAGTTATTAGCCAGTACAGAGTAAACCTCCTCCACACTGCCACATACCACTTTCTGGCCATCACCTCTGCAACTCCCTATGTCAGGAATATCAGAGAAATTGGCTCACCGGCATAGTTACTATTTTTCACGATTCTCTCTCAGCGAAAGACCAGTTCTAACAGCACAGTCTAGCTATACCAGGCTGCAGGCTGAAAACACTGCAATATCTGCAATCTGTAATAAAAGCTACTAACAAAGCCTAACTTCAGGAGGAAAATGTTTTTTGTTTTTTTTTTTTTTAAAGAGGCCAAAAAACCCCCCAGATGTATTCACACACTTTGTACAAAGAAAGCAAGCCAAAGGAGTTTTCTTTCTACCCTTTTCTAACTATTTTATCATAGCAATTTTAGATGTACTTAGGACAGTGCATAAAGCACTCCAAAATCGGTGTTTCTCTTCAGTGTGACACTACCATAAGCATTCGAATCATCTAAGAAAAATGGGTGCAAGATAAACAAGGCATTAATTTTCCAAATTCTGTGATCTAGGTTAAACCAAGTGTTCCAGTCTTTCCCCCATTAACACAAAGGTACAAAATAATGGCATTGCTGTTGGTGCTATAAAATATCACATGAAGTACACCTACATTCACTATGTAAGTTTTCAAAAAGTATTGGCAGGTCCTTCAAAAACAGAGTACCCATGCACCTAGTCTATAAAAAGAGAACCATGTCAAAACATCCATTCCTGTAGAAAGAAAGGTTACCTTCGTCTGTTCACTGTCAGGATCTTCAAGCCAACAGTATGGGTCGCTTATTTTACACCCATGGTAATCCAACACCTGATTTATAAAAAGACAATACTTTAAAAAAGACATGCACACAAGAAAACTCTATTCATTAAGAAATAATAGTCATCAGGATGAAGGGTATTTGGAATTTCACAAAACCATACAGTACTAAGAAGCAAAGGAAGAGAAAAGCAACACTTTGCTCCCACGTGAGTTGCTAATATTACCATTCTTTGGTGATGGCACCAAGGCAGCAGAGTTGTCCTCAGAAAAAAAAACAGAGCACCAGCAAAATACAGAACATGAACATAAATTCCTTCCACAAGACAGAGTGGTAAAGTAATAAAAAACCTCAACACACCAAAACCCCTCAAAAAACAAACAACGCAAAACCTCCTCCAAATCCAGGTGTTCAAGTCAAATCACAAAAGCCAATTACTAGCTGCCCCCAAAACGTAGTTTCTGGTTATGCCACTGTCTCCCGTTTAGCCCTCCCTACTATTGCTGCTTGCAAATGTGTGAGTAAAGTACATATAAAAATTTAAAATAAAAAAACCCAAACACAAAAGACTAACCCACGTGGCTGCATGTACCTACTTCCTTCTTCCAGGCTAGGTATCTGCTGTTGGGAGTTGCACAGCTCAGCCTTTCACTCAACTATGAAAGTAAATACCTAAGTTTTTCCAGTGTTGGCTCATGTCGGCAAACATTTTGGCTTAAAAATAACGTTAGTTCTGTAAATAATACCTGGGCTGGCACCTAAAGCACAGCTCTTTGCAGAAGGAGAAGAAAACTGAACCCGTTTGAAGCCAAACTTCCACCGTAACCCCTGCGTATCAAGTTACGGTCGCAACACAAGGAGATGAACTATTTTACAGATGTGCCGTCACATAAAAATAGACCAGTTGTTCCTCTGTGCGCTACCCCAGCCCAGGGGGAGGCCTGGATTTCCCTGAAACACGCCGCGGTACCAGAAGCTCCGGGATTTGCGCGGCCGCGATACCCGCTCGCCCCCGGCCACCCCGCGGCCCCGGGCC